ACCTATAATTATTTGCATCAGACTTGCTACCTTTCTTATGGAGCGGAATAATAAAAGATTCCTTCCAGATGGGGGGGAAGCATGAAGAGTTAATGGATAGGGTGAATAGTTTAAGCAAGGGTCCACACAGAGCGTCGGCACAGTACCTGAGTACACAGCCGGGAACTCCGTCGGGACCTGGTGAAAACACCGGCTTAACTAGTCGAAGATCATGAAGCAGTGAGCTTTCATTTAACAAGGGGCTGAAGATGCCATTCGACCTTGGTAAATTGTATGGATACGGCTGACCAGAGTAGCTTTCATGAGAATAGGTTGTTTGGAAAAATTTGGCAAAAAGATCGGCAATTGCCTGATCATATTGACCTTGGAGTCTCCGATAAAAAAAGCTGTGGCCAAGCAATGAGAGTTTATATATGCCAAAAAGGAAGGTATAGTGAGACTCGACAATGAATTCATCAGTGTGATAACTCTGGAGGAGGTGCTTTATTGCCCAGATGTCCCAGAAAATTTACTGTCTGTAAAAAAAATGCAAAATGCTGGAATGACGATTGAATTTCATCCAGGAGTTGTTAAAATTCATAAGAATGGGCAAAAAGTTATGACTGGTAAATATAAACACAATGTTCCGATTGTTGTTTTTAAGGTATGTAAGCATGCATATATGTTGAATTCAAACAATATTAATACGTATCGATTGTGGTATGAGAGCTTAGGACACATAAGCAAAGGGAAGTTTATAGAAATGAAAAGAAATAATATGTTCGTTGATATTGATTTAATTAATAATGTAGAACCTAGTAATGAGCTATGTGAAGCTTGTATCTATGGCAAGCATGCCAGACTTCGATTTGAAAAGTTTAAAGATAAAGAATATATTAAGAGACCATTATTTCTTGTGTACTCTGATGTGTGTGGTCCAATTACGCCTGCTACCGTAAATGGTAAAAATTATTATATAATATTTGTTGACCAATACACTCATTATTGTGTAACATATTTAATTACATACAAGTCAGATGTTTTTGCAGTCTTCAAAGATTTTGTGGCCAAAAGTGAAGTTCACTTTAATTTGAAATTAGTTCATTTATATATTGATAATGGTAGAGAGTATCTTTCTAATGAAATGCGAGAATATTGTGTTCAGAAAGGAATTAGTTACCACCTGACTGTTCCACATACACCACAATTGAATGGTGTTTCTGAAAGAATGATAAGAACAATAACAGAAAAAGCTTGTGCCATGGTTTAATGGAGCCAAATACAGAAAACGTTTTGGGGTGAAGCCGTTTTGACGGCAACCTACTTAATTAACAGAAGTCCTAGTGTTGCATTGAAAGATAGTATGAAAACACCATACGAAATGTGGCATAGTAGAAAACCAAATCTAAAGTATTTGAATGTTTTTGGATCTACTGTATATGTTCATGACAAGACTAGGAAACGAAAATTTTGTTGAGAAGTCGTGGAAAGGAGTTCTCATTGGTTATGAGACAAATGGCTATAAAATATGGGATGTAAAATCCAGAAAATTTACAATAGCGAGAGATGTTATTGTTGATGAGACAAATATGTTAAATTCTAGAACTACAATGAATAATGAAGGTTCTCGAGATTTCACGAATGATAGTACGGAAGGTATCCGTAGTAGTGAAAGTAGGGAATTTGTTAATGATAATACGGTATGTCTCTAGAAAGATAGTATGGAGTGTGATCAATCTAGTTTTCTGAATGATAGTAGGAAAATGTAATTTGATGAAATAAAATCAGATGAGCAGTTAAATAAAAATTTGTCTGAAAACCGTAATTCTGAATCTGATGTAAATAATGTTTCAAAAGTCGAAAATGAACATATAAGTCCACAGGCTGAAATACGAAAAAGCGAAGGAATAAAGCAGAGGCCACCAATATCATACAAAGATTTAATAAATAATTGTGTAATGAATGCATATACTCTTATTAATGGCATTCCAAATTCGTTTGAGGATATTAAGACAAGAGAAGATAGAGTACAGTGGGAAGAATCAATCGATGAAGAAATTAAGTCTCATCATTTAAATAATACCTGGTCCCTATTACCTATGCCTTTATTTAAGATTATTTAATTGATTATGATGAGACTTGTGCTCCAGTAGCGAGAATTTCGAGTTTTCGAATTTTAATGTCTTTTTCAAATCAGTTTGATCTGCATATTCATAACATGGATGTAAAAACTGCCTTTTTGAATGGTATGTTAAAGGAGGAGATGTATATGTCAGTTCCTCAAGGTGTGTCATGTGGTGATGGTAGTGTTTGCAAGTTAAATAAAGCCATTTATGGGCTTAAGCAAGCAGCCACATGATGGTTCAAAATGTTCGAAAGAGCTTTAAAGGAAATTGGCTTTGTAGACTCTGTTAAGTTACAAATACTTAGCGAAACAAGACCGCTCAGCTTGGTGGCTTAATTCAGAATGTTTATTGAATATCTTTTGGTTCTTATCCTAGGGTACAATCGTTCTTATGTATAACGGAGAGCGAGAGTTCTCCCACGCATTATATGAAAAGAGTACCACCGCATAAGTATTAGTGCGCGTGGTCTCTGCCTGAGTCTAATGGAAATGCATGATCAGCGTTAAGGGCCTTTTGAGAGGGAGACCCATCGCCTCAGTGTTAGGGCGTTTGGGGTTCTGCCTGAGTTCGGGTAAATGCCTGCTCAGCAGTTTTGGTAGCTGACCGATCTGCGTTCAAGTCGTAGATCGCTGCTGTGCAAAAGGAATGCGTAACATAAACATAAGTTGTTTATGTCACTGCTCATATATACGCGCTTATATATGTATTTATATATGTAACAGTGTATATGTACATGCATGGGTTCAGTACAACTCATCTGTTGATCGTTGTATTTATATACTTGATAATAAAGATATTCAGAAGAATATATATCTTTTATTATATGTAGATGATCTGGTAATATCTACAGATAATATTAAAACCATGACTAGATTTAAATCTTATTTAATGACAAAGTTTAAAATGACAGATCTCTTAGATATGCGATACTTTATAGGGATTAAAATAGACAAGAAGGATAATGAATTACATTTTAGTCAATCTGCCTATATTGAGAATGTTGTAAAGAACTGTTTCTGTCCGTCTGAATCAGCGAGGCTGGCTCAGCGGCCGACGGGTATGTATGTTGCCTCACAGACAAGAGAGAATGCACGGATGGGTTTAATTACTGGCTATGGGTACTTTATTGGTATCTTATACTTAGTGGATCTTACGTTCTATATAACAATGAATCGTTTCTCTATTTCTATACGCTCTCGTGCCACCGGCCCCTCAGGCTCCTCTCTGGTGCTGTGTCTATGTGTCCGACCTGTCTCGCGCCTAATCTACACACACAACTCCGCACACACTGTGTCGCTTCTGATCTGGTAATATCTACAGATAATATTGAACCCATGACTAGATTTAAATCTTATTTAATGACAAAGTTTAAAATGACAGATCTCTTAGATATGCGATACTTAATAGGGATTAAAATAGACCAGAAGGATAATGAATTACATTTTAGTCAATCTTCCTATATTGAGAATGTTGTAAAGAACTGAACCATGGACAAGTGGAGTACCACCTGACCCAATTGCTGACAGGACATGGATGCTTTAAATCCTACCTGCATAGGTTTAAGCACGAGGATGACCCCTTCTGTGTGCTCTGCACACGGGTCACCAAAGACGCGGAACATTGTTTCTTTGAATGTCCAAGGTTCGAGCAAGATCGGGTAGTCCTCACCAACAAGCTTGGAAGGACGCCATCAGTGGCAAACCTAGCGCAATGTCTACTGGAGTCAGAAGAAAACTGGGCCACAGTGATGACTACCAAGCTGCGTTGGAAAGAGCACGCAAGGAAAGGAGATAGACATAGTCTAAAATAGATGAGCGTATAGGCATTTCCCCCCGGCGAAGTAATATTTCGTGACAGTTCCGCCGGGACCGGGGTTGGTGTGTTAGATTGGTTTAGTGGGTTAGAGTCCCACACTTCGGCGCCATTAGAAGCTGAGTCGGCATAGAGCTTCCAGAACACACAACACAAAAAAAAAACAAAACAAAAAATTGTCGCTTCATGAGAGAGTGTAGTGTCAAATAGTGCGGACGTGTTTTTTCCTGTGCTCCCGCGCGGACTGCAAACTAGCCGATATGCCTGCAGGGAAAAGGAGTCGTTTAGTGTATGAGCCAATACTCATGCCCGGTCTCTGTGTCTCTCGTTCCACTTGACTCTCTTTTTTGTTGTAATTAATTGTCATCCTGTATTTGTCTGTGCCGTTTTGTCCTCGTTGCAATTTTTACTCGTCATGCCAGCTGTTCGATAAGACAGCTGATGATCTGACCTGTGCTGTGCAACGACAAACACTGCAAGCTGCTGCAGTAAAGCTCCGGTAGTGGGCGCAACGGACGATCGGTGAAACTCTGCATGGCGGAAAAACGTCGGAAGATGGCGCAAGCGACTGTCTGTCGGACCTTCCCTTTCTTTACCAGAGGAAAACTCCCTTCGTTTTCCTCCCGGCCACCTGCCCGTTTGAAATTGCGCGCCCGCGCGCACGCTGGTTCCGGACTGGTTCCTCCATTGCCCGATCGGTTCGCCACCTATCGAATCGGGTCTGCCGATGTAGTTCCGGAACCAGCTCCATGCATGGTTTTCCCGATAGGTGCGTGCCTCGCGTGCACGATAGGTGCGCCTCTGATCGTGCTGCCAGACCCTATTCACGTGTTGCCAGATCGCTCCCCTTTTCACGTGTTGCTTCCGCTTGCGGTATCTATTGTATACGCTTCGCCGGCCGCGTTTTCGCGTACGTTTGTTTATTTTACTGCTCTCGTGGGCTCTGTGTACCCCGCGTGTTAACCAAACGACTAGCCCGACACCATGCTGCCATTACCTGGGTAAGTTTTACTTCATATTCTTTATTCATTTTTTTTTTTTTCATTCAACAATTTTCTTCCTCACCCCCCTTTCATACCACGATGGACACCTCGAACTGGTTTGCCGACGCCGACACCCGGTACCGTATCCCGCGCACCCTCACGAGACGCTTTACGCGCCGGCCGATCCGGCGTGTGCCTTCAACTGCCCGGACCACTGCCTCCGGCCACTCTTTGATGGCCACGTGTCGCCAGCGGACATTCTCCCCCGTCGGCTCCTCCATCGACTGCTGTCTCTGCAGCTGCGGCCGGGCGACCTCAGCCGTGGGATCTGGGCACGATGTTTGCCTCATCAGGACAGGCCTAGCCTTGGCCTTCGCAGGTGAGGGCCACACCCATGGACCGCGCTCCCACCTCTCACCTTCCGTGTCCGCTGCCGCTTCTTTCGTCGCCGTCGCTGGCGCTTCCGGTTCCTCCGTGGCCATCGCTGGCGCTGTCGGTGCCGATGTCGGTGCCTCTGTCGCTGCCGCTGTCGGCGTCTCCGTCGCTGTCGCAGGCTTCCCGGTATCCACCGCCGCCGTCGCAGCCGGTGCCTCCGCTGCTGCATGTGTTCCCGCTGCCGCTGTCACTGGCTCCCGTGCCTCCGACGCCGTCTCCTCTGCCGCCCTGGCCTCTGCCTGCCTTCGGTGCTGCCGTGGATCGCGCGCGTTGCTTCGCGGGGCTGGCTCCTCCTCCCATATCTTCCGGTCTTCCTGCGCCTCCGATGGTGCGGGTCCCGACGCCCACGTGATGTGTATTGTTTGGTGGTGCCATACCATGCCATTCCTCACTGCCGTGTGAACGCTTTGCGACTTGTTGTAGCAGCAGCCACAACAGGGTGAAGAGGCACCCTTATGGGAACGCCGGCATCCTGTGCCACCGCCGCAGCCACAGAGCACGCAACAGCCAACGCCCCCGCAGTCGCCGCCACCAAAATCACCACCACCGCGTTCTCCGGACCACCCCACTGGGGCTGCTGTGCCTGTTCCTGTGGCGGCTCCTTCGGTGACTCCTGCCGTCGTGGCGACAACTGTTGTGGCGGTGAATTCGGTGGTGGTGATTTTGGTGGCGGCGACTGCTAGGGCGTTGGCTGTTGCGTGCTCTGTGGCTGCGGCGGTGGCACAGGATGCCGGCGTTCCCATAAGGGTGCCTCTTCACCCTGTTGTGGCTGCTGCTACCCCGCCGGTCTGTCAAACAGGCCCGTCTTCAAGAACCTTTAAGAACCTCGGAGGAGGCGGAGCCTCCTCCTCGTTCCCCTCGTGGGCTTCGGCTTCACGCCGGCGGCCTCCATCTGCCGCTGCAGGTTGGCCCGTGCCTCCCGCATTATGGCCTTGTTTAGCGCCGCCTTCCTTTGCGCCTTCTCTGCTGCCTTTTTTCGGGCCTCCTCCTTGCGTCGCCGCTCCTCCTCGCGTCGCGCCTCTGCTGCTGCTCGCCGGCTGCGCTGCTGCTCCATATGGCTCCTCCGTATGACCTCGGCTGGTGGCCGCGCTGCTGGCGTCGCTGTCGGTTGGGCTGTTGGCGTCGCTGTCGCCTGCGCTGAGGGCTGCGCTCTCCGTTGCAGCGGTACCTCTGCCGTTCGTCTCGGTACCTCTGCCGTCCGTCTCTGCTGCGCTGCTGGCCTCCTTGTTAGCCTTGCCGTCGGCTGCGATGGCGTCGCTGGCGGCATGAGTGTCGTAGGCTGCTGCGGCTCCCGTTGCCCTGCAGCTTCGCGCTTCCTCTCACGCAAATAGCGTTCCGCCGATCGGATGGCGATGCCGAGGAATGCTGCGTCGCGCCGCAGCTCCTGCTCCCGTGCCCGCTTCTCCTCCTCGTTGAGCTGCATGCTCCTGAGCTCGGCTCTCCTTGGAGCCTGCTCGACGGAGACTACCACCACATCGCTGTCCTCCTCCTCCGTTGCTCCTGGCGACACTTCCGGCTCCCGCCTGCTTCGAGGAGACGCCAACGAGGACCACTCGCTCCTTGGGGATGCCATGGGACTTCCAAATGGGGACGCCATGAGCTCCAGCTCTGGAGTCTCGCTCCGCCGATCACACCGCTCACCTCGCGAGGGCTCAGCCCGTCGCTGGCGATGGATCTCGGGATTGCGGCTCCCCACACTTTTGGCTTGTTCTTCCAAGTACATTTTCAACATGGCGTCCCTTTTTTTTCCTTTTTAATTCCGTGCTTCCGTCTGTGTCTGGATACCTCTGGCTCGTGACTGATCGACAGCTCTAGCCTCTGCTGCCGTCGAGCCCTTGCTGTCTTTCCCGTCGTTCCGTCGTACGGTAGTTGGGCATTCCTTCTCCCACTCTCTCGAAGGTTTCTGCCTCTCAGCACTGGGGCTCTTCGCCGCGTTAACCCTTCCGCGGCCGGTGGGGGTCTGCTCGCACCCAATCATATCTGATCCCACCCCCTTTTGTTTGTAGAAACCTTATATAAATATTTTCCTTTTTATATTTATTATTGTTTTTTTCTTTTGTTTTCCCTTTTCTTAGGCTTTGACGCCCTTCTTCCCCTCCCCGCCGAACTGATCGAATCCCCCCTTCGGCCCATGTGAGTACTGTGAATGTGCGCTATCCTTCAATAACTTTGGCTTATTTTCCAGCCCATCCTGCATCCTTGGTCCGCGATGCCAATCGTCATAAATGCCCGTGACTAACAGGTCATCCAACCTTTCGCCCGGCTGCATCATGACGATCGGCCCTGGCTTGTCACCGCATTGCCGCCTTCGGTTTGGCCTTTGGCGTGACCTCTGCCCCATGCAGCTGCTTCGGACCCGAGGATCATCCGACTCCTCGCCCGTAAGCAACGCGTGGGTAGTGCCTTTTGCCCGGCCAAGCCCGACGGTTGTAGATGACCCAGGAATCCTGGACCACAGGACCAGGATTATCCCATTTCACTGGATCCCCGAGGGTATCTCTCCGCCGGGTCTCGGTCAGCCGAACGCCTTTGGCTTCGGGTATGTCGTTCTCACCAGTTTTTTTTATTTTTTTTTCCCCCTTTTTTTTCATGCTTCTCTGTCCTTTCAATTATTCTTCCAGATTTGGGCTTCCGTCGTCTGCACGTGCCAACTCGTTCTAGACTTTTATTTATACGCTTTTGTTTAACGCTACCCCTTTTTTTAATACGGGCTGGTGTCGGCTCTTGACGGCGTCCTGCGCCATTACACCCTCTTAGCCTTAAGTTGTTCTTGACTCAGGCCCCTTTGCATGTTCGCACTCATTCGCAATATAAGTCTGCGGCGATTCCTGATTCCTTATTTTTCTTCGTCGTTTGCCTGTGGCTTTAGGTCTCCAATATGTGCCGTCCGTGTATGCTTATTGCTGTCTCTCCGCAGCTTGCATATCACCGGTGACACGAAATCAGTGATCTGGTAGGGACCGGCATACCTTGGAGCCAATTTTGCTGCGAACCCCTCGGCTGCGTTAGACAGGTGGTGCTGTTTAATCCAAACCCTTTCTCCGCCTTAGGCTTCCAAGCTCTCTTTCGCAAGTTGTAATATCTTGCCTGATCCTGGGCTGCTCTTACCAAATTTCGCCTTACCAGCTGAAAAAGTTCTTTCAGCTTTATCGCGTGTTCGTCTGGGGTGTTTGTCTCCTGACCCGTGCCGAGTGTTTCCTCATCGTACAAAGCCTCCGGCAGCCTGGGCTCTCTCCCTTGCACTATGAATGCTGGCGCGAATCCCGTGGACTCCGTGACCCCAGAGTTCACGGCCAGCATTAACTCGGGCCACTTCTCGTCCCAGCATCTCTGGTCCCCTTCGGAGAACTGCGCGATCATTGTTTTTACCGTTCTGTTGGTGCGTTCCGTTGGGTTTTCTTTGCGGCGTGTACGGTGCCGTAAACTGGTGTCAAACTCCCATCTGATGCAGAAACTTTTTAAACGCCCCACTGGTGAATTGTCCATGTACTCCATTGTCGGTGATCATCACCTTGGGTACGCCGAACCGGGCCAATATTCGTTCTCTGAAAGCCTTTATCAGGGCTTCTGCCGTGGCCTTTCTCATTGGCACCAGCTCGGTCCATTTTGAAAACCGGTCCACCAGCACCAATAGCATGGCATTCCCATGTTTTGATCTGGGCAATGGTCCCACAAAATCCGCGCACACCGTCGCCCATGGTTCCTCTGGTACTTGTGTCAGCATTTTCCCGGCCACTTGTGCCTGACTTGGTTTGAAACGCATGCAGGCGTCACATTTCCTGACATACGTCCTCACGTCCCGGTGCATCCCCGGCCAATAGTACCTGGCAGCTATCCTTTCCATCGTCTTCATGCCGCCGGCGTTACCCGCCTCGGGGGTATCGTGGTTCTCCCTCATGACCCGCTCCCGTCGATCCTTCGGCTCACAAAGCTTCCAAGCTACTACTTCTTCGTCGCCGGCCCGGTGCGGGATATGCCGTTACACTCCACCTGCCTCCTCCACATAATCCGGGAACTTGGCCGGCTCCTTTCTCATCTTCTCCTTGACCTTTTTTATCCATGAGCATTGCTCTTCGGGCTCCTGTCCAACGTCCTCCGCTCGCATACATCGCTCTTCCATGGGCTGTCGAGATAGCGCAACAGCCACTACGTTCTGCTGCCCCTTCCTATACGCTATTTCGAAGTCGTATTGCTGCAACTCTAGCGCCCATCTTGCGATACCCCCGTCGGGCTCTCTATAGTGTTGAGCCATTTCAATGCCATGTGGTCGGTGACCACCTTGAAGTCATACCCTTCCAAATAAGGTTTGAGCTTCCGATGGCCCACACAATTGCCAGGCATTCCTTCTCTGTAGCCCAGTAATTCTTCTCCGCACTGTTCAGCGTACGGCTGGCGTATGAGATCACCCTTTCGCCCTTCTCCGTTTCTTGGGTGAGAATCGCTCCCAATCCATAGTCGCTGGCGTCCGTCTGTAGCACAAACTTCTTCGAGAAATCCGGGCAGGTTAGCACCGGATCGGCTACCAGCCGACCCTTCACGGACTCAAATGCCTGGTATTGCTCTGATGCCCATTCCCACTTCACCTTTTTCTTCAGCAATGTGCTGAGCGGCTGTACCATGGTGGCGAACCCTGGCACGAAACGTCGAAGCCATGAGGCGACGCCCAGATACTGGCGAAGCTCTTTCACGTTCGCCGGTGGCTTCAGCTCTGCAATGGCGGCCACCTTTTCCGGATCAGTGCAGATGCCTTCTCCCGTCACCAAATGACCCAGGTACCGCAGCTCTCTTCGGCCTAACTGGCATTTATCCACATTCAACCTTAAGTTGGCCCTTTTTAAGCGTCGGAAAACCTCCTCAAGATTACGTTGGTGCTCCTCTTTCGATGGGCCTATAACGATGATATCGTCTTGGTATGCACCTGGTCCTGGTAACCTGGTCCAACGCCCTCTGAAACGTGGCCGACACCGAATGTAGCCCGAACGGGCACTTTCCATTGGAACCATCCCTTGCCTGGCACCGTGAAGGCTGTGAACTTCCGGCTATCCTTTTCCAGTAATATTTGCCAATACCCGTCCTTCAAATTCAAGCTACTGATGAACCGCGCTTCCCTCAGCTGATCTAAAATATAGTCAATCCGCGGCATTGGGTATGCGTCCTTGATAGACTTTGCATTGATTTGTCGGAAGTCCACGCATAACCTCCATTGACCAGTTTTTTATTTTTAAGCATTACGATGGGGGAACTATATGGACTCTTCGATGGCTCGATACACCCCATCTCCAGCAGCTTGTCTACCTTTTGGTTGATCTCCGCCTGCATCTTTGGGTTCTTAGGGTAGTATCGCTGTTTAACCGGTATCGCATCGCTCATTGTGATTGTATGCACCGCCACATTCGATACCCCTTTCATGCTCTTGAATTTCTCCAATTCCTTGGCAAGAAATTCTTCGAACGAGCCTTCCTTTGCCCTGTCGCTGCACCTGCTTCCCGTAAGGGTCCTCGGCCTCGAGCTCCTCATCAGCCATTCGTTCCGGGGTCTCCTCATTGGCCTCCAATACTGCCACTGACAGCCTTTCTTCCAACCGCCCTTTCCGTCGGCCTCTCGCAGGGATCACGACCCTGTGCCCCGCACAGGTCACCTCTGCTCCGACTGCGGCAATGAAATCCCAGCCAAGTACCAGTGCATCGATGACTCCTGGCAGCACAAGAAGTGCCATTGAGACCACTTTGTCCCCGAACGCCAGCTCCACTTCGATTTTTGTATCGATGGTTCGACGGCGTCCATCGGCCAAACGCACCTGCTTGTCGGTTTTCTCCTCGCGCCCCTCCCCGCGCAGCTGTTCCGTCAGCTCACAGCTGACAAAGCTGCTAGTGGCCTCTGTGTCGACCGTGGCCTTCCATTTCCTCCCTGCGATGTCCACCACGGCTGACAGCTGCACATCCTCCACGGTGAGTTCACCGATTAGGTTTCGGGGGCTGCAGCCTGCGACCCCGGCACGGCCCTCCTCGGCTTGGGTCGGGGGGCGTTTCCCGACTTTTTGCAGCACTGCCATGTCGTGACGCCGACCTTTCCACACCTCCAGCAGAATGTCAACGGTCGCCCTTGACATGCCTGTGACCAATGCTCGTCGCTCCCGTATCGTCGGCACGCTTGGGCGGGATTCTTAACGTATCCCCCCTCTACATTGGAATGTGTCTGGTCTTCCGTCGCTGGTGCCGCCACTTTCTCTTTCGTTTGTCCAGCTACGGCTGCCGGCTCGTCCTTGCACCTCCGGCATACTTCAGTCACGGCCGACTTCGCGAAGGGCTTCGCCGCCTACGCTCTTCCCGCTAGACTCTCCTTCTGGAACTCTACGCGATCCCTCTCCAGTGCCTCGAACTCATCCGCTAGCATCATCATGCGGTCCAGGTCCTTGCACCTATGTGGCCTGATGAATATGCGCAGATCTGGCATGCTGTTCTCGCGGATGAGCTCCATCTGCTCCTCAGGAGTACATTTGAGGGGTCTCATGAGGGTCTGAATGTCCACCATGTAGTCCTTGAATGACTCTCCCCATTTTTGCTTCCTTTGCCGTACCTCTTGGAGCAACTTCTCGAAGTACCCCCTCGGTATGAAGTAGGCCTGGAAGCTTGTTGCGAATGCTTCCCATGTCTGCCACTGCCGGTTATTGGCGATGAACCACATCAACGCTCGGCCCTTCAGCAACTCTGGCATTGCTCTGGGAATCAGATTCAGGTCCAGACCGTACATATCAGCCGACCATTTGACCTGCTCCAGAAACTCCAGGGGCTTCGCCGTCCCATCGAAACGGAACGACCATTCCCTCACCTGTTTGGCCACATTCGTGTGTAGTATGCGGGACTGCCTCCCAGCCTGCGCCTCGGTAACTACCCGCCCCTCTTCGTTGCGGCTTCTCGATGGTTCTCGCGTCGTGGTGTTCCGGGCCCCCGCTGGATCCACACTCTTTGGCCGTGGTCTGCTGACAGACGGCCTCGGGGAGCGGCTCCTATCTGGTATCGCCAGGCTTGCTATGAGGTTCTCCGCCGGTATTTTCCACACCGATGACGCGCCCGCACCTCCCGGCAATGGCAGACGCTCGTACGCGTCTGGCCTATCTTCCGCCTGTGGCAAGGGTGAAGCTCTACCTGCCCGGAGCTCCCAGACCTCCAGCAGGTCTGCGCACTCTGGATCCGCTTTTCCACCCAGTCCTTAAATTGTCTCCGCATTTCGGACACGGTGCCTTCCAATTCCAGCCCAAACTCTAGGGCACACCGGACCAGTTCTACCTTCCTCAGGGAATGGATCCATTGTCGGCTCCTCATGGTGTATAGATACCTCGTTCAGTACCGCCCTTCCCAATGCACTCCTTTCTTTGCTTGTCGTGAGGCCCCACGTTTGGCGCCACTTGTAACGAACTGTTTCTGTCCGTCAGAATCAGCGAGGCATGCTCAGCGGCCGACGGGTTCGTTGCAACAAATTTGTATGTTGCCTCACAGACAAGAGAGAATGCACGGGTGGGTTTAATTACTATCTATGGGTACTTTATTGGTATCTTATACTTAGTGGATCTTACGTTGTATATAACAATGAATCGTTTCTCTATTTCTATACGCTCTCGCGCCACCGGCCCCTCAGGCTCCTTGCTGGTGCTGTGGCTATGTGTCCGACCTGGCTCGCGCCTGATCTACACACACAACTCCGCACACACTGAGTCGCTTTTGATCGCCTTGGCGATAGCGGTACCTGTTGTCACTCCTTTGGCACTTCGCAGACCTTATTCCCTTTGCTGGGTCGTACTGCTGCCTGTTGATTGGGTCACTTTGATCCTTCCTTAGACTCTTACGTTGACTCTCCTTGTCGTTGGCTCTACCGCACTTGCTTGTGTTCGCGCCTTTCCTCGTGATTCGCACTCTACTGACTGCGTCATTTACTGCTGCCGGGCTCCTCTTATACCCTCGCTTCGACGCTGGCGTCCGCGCCTCTGCCTAGCAATCCGTGCGCCGCTGGTAATTTTCCATCGGCCTCTTCGCTTGTCTTCATCACGTTCTTAACGGGACCGGGCTGGTGGCGTGATCTCATGTCCATATACGGTCATGCGCTGGACCACTGCCGGCCCGCTCCCACCGTTCCTAGCCTGACGTGAGCGCCGCTCCTTGCGTGCTCCTTCATTCCCGACTCTCTCCACGGGATCGTACCGGAGGCATGATCTTATGCCCATATATGGTCATGAGCTGGACCCCTGCCACTCTAACGGGACCCGGCTCCAGGCCGGCTCTCACTCTCTTGTGAATTCGCCGTGAAATCTCTTCTTAACCCTTACTTGGTCCCCTTGTAAGGAAACTCTATTCCTCACAATATATTAAAAATATTTAAGATGGATTAATGTAATCCAGTAAACTCACCACTGCCGACTAAACTTAATTTTAAAGCTTCGAACTCGGATGATGTATGTGATGCACCATGCCGTAGCTTGATTGGATGTTTGATGTACATCATGGTATGTACAAGACCTGATTTGGGTACTGCTGTCAATATGTTCAGTCGATACAGTCATAAAAACGAGATGGAACGTGCGATTCGCTTCTGAGGTCGCGACGCTACTAATACACGTACTCAGTCAGTATTTACATTTTTGAGCATATGATTTTTTAGAATTTTAAATAAAAAAAAAAAAATTTTACATTTGTAAGGGAGTGCCCTTACAAGGGGGCATGTATATATGTAGATAGAGGGAGGTAGAACCTCATTTTCCATTTTTTATTATTTTTCATAGTTCGTAAATTATTTCATATCCACCCTAGCATTAAGTCTTTTCATTTCTTACACCTAATCATAAGAGCTGTATATAGTGGAGAATAGGGGCAGAAGTCGAGTAGGGGAAATACATCGTAAATTCGTGGGGCAAGACGTGACCAGGAAACAATCACCGCACTCGTCATCTCTGACAGCCCCACACACACAGCCACAGCGAAGCACAAGTGACGTCACACCTGTCGAACAAGCACAGCAGGCCACGATCTACGGGAGATCGCATCACTGCGATCTACGCAGTGGCAGAGCATCAAGCAGAGGAACGAAGGCTGAGCAGCGACTCTTAGCAGAGACTCTCAGCAGAGGGTGGACTCACTCCACACATGGAAAAGAGGGAGACAGCGTGATCCCGATGGACGATCGGGAAATGGCCCGATTACCTCTGCCAAGACGCTGCCTGGAAAAGAAGGGTTCGAGCCCGCGTCGAAAAGTGCGGCTCGGGAGTTAAGTGGAGATGGCCTAGGAGACCAGTCGTGTTCGCGGAAAAGTCGAGGAGTTCAGAACCCGTGCCCTGCCGTCAAAAGTGACCGCGCCTACGCCTTCCCCCACGCCTACGAGGAATACACACAGGGGACAACGCAACAAACAAACGAGCCGCCCAGGATACCACGCCGTGGAAAGGGTAAGCTAGCCTCACTTAAGTGAGTAGGGAACAATAGCGGTGCGATAGGTAGGGTGTAGGGGCTAATTAAATAAAATACAGAACGAATGAAGCAAATTTATCAGGTTTATTCTCCTGGGAGGGAACTGGGAGCTCATGCTAGTAACCCCGACCCCTCTCCACCACGATTGTGTTCCACTTGATTCACCAAAATCCCCACCTCAACTTAAAGAAGCCGGACGCGGAAGAACGGCGACTGTAGGTAATCCTTTTCCCCTTCCCCAGTAGTTATTGCCCTTTAGTTTGGGGAGCCAGTTCGCGGCACTGGACGCGGGTCCGTGGGTCTGATCCTCCCCCTTCTCATTGTAGTTGTTGCCTCGCCGCAGGGAAGTCAGTTCGCGGCACTGGACGCGGCACTGGACGCGGCAGCACTGTGCCCGTGGGTCTGATCGTCCCCCCACCCCGCTGAAGTTGTTCCCATTCCCCTGTCGGAACGCGCCCTCACTTTTGGGGAGTCAGTCCGCGGAACCGGACGCGGGAGCACGTCGTCGGTGGATCTGATCATCCCCTTTCCCCGTTGTAACTGCCCCTCTCCACACGTCCACCCTCGCATTCCAATGCATCGGTGCGGCAGTCATACAGATCTTCTCGAGGTCCCGCAACAAATAAAAATCTTGCTGTAGTGAATCGGGCCGTGGACAGACTGAGAGGCTATACCCCAGCGGAACTTCCTTACACATTTTACAATTTTTTGCTACATATGTTATCTACATCTACATCTGTATATTATACATCTAACATGTAGATTATACATGTACCATTTAGATTCTACATCTCCTCCGCTAGGGGTTGCTCGCGCACTGAACGCGGGAGAGTGTGCGAGCGAGAAAGAGAATGACCAGCGTGTCTCTGGCTGAAGTAGGCGGGGGAAGCAACTAAAAATTTCTTCAATCTGTCTATAATTATACGATTAGAATCGGCACATTAGCAGTGTGATATCACATGATTCTTGAAGCCAAATTTGGTTGCCCTAGCTCTTATAGTCTCTGAGATCTAGGCACTCATCGAGACATAGCTATATCGACTCGGCTATTGATGCTGATCAAGAATATATATACTTTATGGGGTCGGAAACATTTCTTTCTCTGCGTTGCACACATCCACTTTAACCACAAATACAATATACCCCTTAACTCTTTTTTGAGTACGGGTATAAAATGAAAGAAATATGTATGGAAAAGTTCTCTGAAAAAAAGGAATCTATTGACAAAGTTGCAAAGTCGAAAGCCGACGGCACTTGCACAATATTTATGTACATACACATTTAATTTAGTATATACATATCTAAAATATGGATATTTATATGTAAGTTTGCAATTTCAAATAAATAAAAAAAATAACATCTTTTATTTTTATATTTTATTTATTTCCCACGCCCACCCCCACCCACTATGCCCTTTCCTCATTTATGTTGCGGCAGGTCAGCTCAGGTCGCTACATCAGAAGTCACACATGAGTTTCGTCGTAGAGCCGTGTAATAACGATCGCTGCGCTGATGCATTTTATATTGGGAAAAACTAACAAAGGCAGCGTGACAAGTGACAAATTTTATTAGTTATTTAAAATAGAAACTTAAACAATGCAATCCAAAAGCACGAAAAGTGATATTTTTTAAATTAATTTTTTTTTTATCAGATAACAAAATTAATTTTAATAAAATTGAAATTGATTACTTAAAAAGTAAACTAAATTTAATAGAAACTTTCCACATAGAGTGCTGTTTGATTTCACTTATCTTTAATAAAAAAAAAAAAAATTCGGATACAAAAATACACATTGCCGAATATCAGGCAAGATCGGGAAAACTATACTGATTCGTATATGGGCGGTAAGGGTAGGCGTGGTCCGATTCTTCCGAAATTCTTATTATATAATTAATGAATCCTATATAACCAAACTTTCATATTTTCAAGTCGTATCTATATTTTTACACTTTATGACAAAAAAAAAGGGTCTTCTGGATCACAGTGCTAATGGCATCATGCCTAATGGTCTTGCTTACTTGCCAATTAACATTTCCAATGGACTTGCTTTAGTAACTCGATTTATTGTACAGTTTAAAGTAAACTGAACATCTTTTAACGCATCTTGCCAAAATCGTTTACTTGTCTCTACAGCCGTCAACATTGCCTTCATAGTAGTCATAGTGCCCATTCGACTGACTAGCACCAGTTGCTATCAAATGATATTCAATTTTCTGTGCTGAGAAAACCGACGGAAATCGTTACTTGTAAAACTCCGGCCCCGATCAGCGATTATACGATTTGGTACCCCGAATAAGGATATGGCTGACTTTACTGCCCCAATGCAACCTTCTGTATCTAAATTTAAAGAGTTATAGAGATAAACAAACTTAGTGAATGCATCGATCTGCACTATAACGTATTCATTTAGGTCATTCTCTCCACTTAATTTGTGTTTTGTCTATGGCAGGTTTTTATAATTTGCATGTGATTCAATTTTCTACATACTTTCACACATACTTCGACATATTCTGAAACCAATACTGAGTGTACACTTTATCTAAAGTCTTCTCCCAGCCCAAATGCATTATAGCTTCGTGTACGTGATTAATGACACCATCTGAAAGCCCCAGGTATCAGAGGTAGGCACCTGGCTCGACCATTCCTTTTTATTTTTTTATTTAAAATACCCGCTCTTTGTTCATATGTCCTTGCAATATGATCCTGCAATTCATTATTCTGATATTTTGAAACTACATCAGCCACTTCTTGGTCTCGTTGTTGTTCTGCTAGGAGTCAATTTTTTGTTATTACCTCTAATTCTCCAAGTAATTCTTGTATTTTCGCAGCACCTGAATATTTATGGACCATATGGATTTATGTGGAATTGTATTGTTGACCATTTTCCGCAGTATTCTTGACTATTTCTGTTGCTCCGAAGGTTGTCATTTCAAAACATGAATTCAATTTGAAAATGGACTTCCGAAAGATGTTTAAATCTGGATCCGTGATGATGAGCCGATGAGTTCAATGGTTCCGGTGGTGTCTGAGTTTGAGGTTTACACTTTTCCTGGTGCGCAACATATGCCATTTGACTCATGTCTATATTTGACAATGGGAACATTTTTGTGTCCACCAATCAACACTTTCTGATGTGCGGAATATTCAATATCTGGCCCGAATGCGAATACGAGACGAGGGAACGAAGCGGATGTAAATGCTCTATGTACTTGTCGTTTTCTGTCAATTTCTCTGATATTGTTATTTATATAGTGGCGCCCAAGTCTCCGTTCCAATTGTCTGTGTTCATTTTGTACATCTTGTGATTGAGATTTTCGCAAGTGCGATATTTTTTCGTGTGTGTTTAAAAAAGAAAACCACAACAAAAAAAATAATAACGACGCCAGTGCCAACAAGCATTATTGACTATTGCATCAACAATAGCGTCAATAACTACAGTAGCGGCAACTATAGCAGCGGCAACTACAACATCAGCGACGTCAGAAGCGGAAACGACAGCAGCGTCAACAGCGACTTCAGAAGCGGCGACAGCAACTACGGCAGCAGCAGCGACATTAGCAACTACAAAAGACGGCAGCGGCAGCAGTAACAGCAACAGCAGAAGAAGATTCATCAGCTAAGTTCAGATATACTCGTATTTTATTTTTAAAACTACTTTAACTTAATTAAGTACAAGATGTTGTCGGAAAAAATTATTCAGTTGTTAGAGGCACAGTCAGCGATAGTAGCTGAGATAAGAAGGATTGAAGCTGGTCATTTGACCAGTGACGTAATCCAAAGGCTTGGAGAGCTAAAAAATGAAGTTACAGCTATTCATGCTATGGTGTAGTCGATCATGACTACTTTACGAAAAATCAATTGGAAAAACTCGTAAAAATTCAGGACATACAGAATAGGTATGATCTGTTAAAATCTACTGGAGCCTTATCAAAAAAGAAAGTAGAAATGGAAAAGTTAGAATCAGTAGGGACTGGAACTTTGAAGAGAGATACAGAGCCAAGCGATAAGCGATAGTCTTGAAAAAATTGTTGAGGAATTCTACAAATATATAGACCAGCTGAGAGCTTTTATAGAAGAAACTACTAGGAGAGTAGATCAGGCTGGCTTGCTTGGGTGCCAGCGTAAGAAAAGTATAATAGAATTCCTCTCGAATAGACTTAATCAGAAGGTTGAGTATTACTATAAGACTTATGCTACAAATCCCAGCTTTGACGAGCAGATCGTCGTGTTAGAATTCGAAATTCAGGATATGTTAGACACCTTAGATGATAGGGTGCAGACCATAACTAATGCAAACATTAACATTAGTAATCGGACAGCAAATAAAAGGGAAGACCATGATTTTCCCGGTCTACCAAAAGAAAAGTACCCACATTCTCTGGAGAAGAAAAAGATTGGGACGGATATTTACAGTTGTATTGTGACATAATCCATAACAGAGATGATATGAAAACATCTTTGAAGTTTAATTATTTAAAACTAGCGCTAAAAGGTGTAACGAACCATGGTTCTAGCCATGTCTCGTCACAAACGGCGGAGGGTCAGCGCATCCACGCTGGCCGGAGACAACAGTCAAACTGATATACACAGAGCTAACGAGCCATGGCTCTAGCCACGGTTCTCCACAAATAGTGGTGTGTCAGCACCTCCGGGAAATAAAATAGTCTTAAGCAACGCACACAATTAATTAAGAACTCTCGATCAACAACTCTACACATTCTTGTCCACACAACAATTTAAAACACCCCACCTCTTGGGACATTTCGCAATCGACGGCCTACATAAGAAATATCTTTTGCGTTATTTCACAATAAGTCAAGCCAGCATAAAATTATCGACCTACCGGCCCAAATTCAGCTATCAACTTCCGCGATGCAGAGTTAGCGAAAACTCATTTTGAAACCAAATACCCAATTCCCAACTGCACCTTCCGGGATGCAGCATCAGCAAAACCACCCTGACCCACTAAAAATTGTCAACGAAGCACCAAGCTTCGACCTAGTTGTGGTAACGCCCCACAAATATTGTCACCAATAATCATAAGTTAGCAATAAGCAATTATTTCCGGGTCTCAGGCAGTCTCAGAGCAGGCAGTCCATCAGCCCGAATACAAGACACAGGCAGTCCATCAGCCCGAACACGAGACACTGACTACGCAGTCCACCAGCGCACCATACAACTACAAGCCAGAGTAGCAACGTCAAAGAAATAAGTGAATGGAAAAATATTGAATAAAACCAAGAACCAATAAAAACAAAACTATCGCATCATCATTTCTCTCTTGACTACTGCATTTTCAAGCCAGCCCGACACCTGAAGTCACCTACAATCTACAAATTTTCTTGTAGCGGACCCTGGACAGACTGATGCATACCTCAGCCTGAAATAGGACCTCACAAGTGGCGCCCGAGCAGGGACTTTTTGGTGACTTTAAGGAGACTAACACCTTGATACGGAGCTTTGTGGAGTAAAGACCCACGCCCACTGAAAGAAAACTAGGCTAGCACAAAAACCGGCACCCTCGCAAAATCCGGTCGCAAGCAAAAGTGCTACAGTACAGAAGTACCACAAACAAAACGTAAGTCAGTGCTACTAACCGCAGAAACACACCATGAATTCAATTTGAAAATGGACTTCCGAAAGATGTTAAAATCTGGATCCGTGATGATGAGCCGATGAGTTCAATGGTTCCGGTGGTGTCTGAGTTTGAGGTTTACACTTTTCCTGGTGCGCAACATATGCCATTTGACTCATGTCTATATTTGACAATGGGAACATTTTTGTGTCCACCAATCAACACTTTCTGATGTGCGGAATATTCAATATCTGGCCCGAATGCGAATACGAGACGAGGGAACGAAGCGGATGTAAATGCTCTATGTACTTGGCGTTTTCTGTCAATTTCTCTGATATTGTTATTTATGTAGTGGCGCCCAAGTCTCCGTTCCAATTGTCTGTGTTCATTTTGTACATCTTGTGATTGAGATTTTCGCAAGTGCGATATTCCTTCACGCACATTGTTCGAACATGAACATGTCGATGTACGAGTACATTAAGAAAAGATTCTGTACACAATCTATATATTTCTAAATTTAAATGTTGTAGTACATAAAGTCGATAATTTACGACCGTTTGAAAGAAAGGGCAAAGATGTGTGGTAATAAATACGCGACAAGCAACACACAAGTGGAGATCCCACTTATCAAATGTAGAGCTAAGCATTAATGTTGTATGCAATGCGTTGCATGCACTCAAACAACCCCCACGGTAAATGTAACCGTTCCATGGGTCTAGCGATAAGAATAGAATATCAATTGTACCACATACATTGTTTGTAAACTGATATAAGGCTCTGATTTTAAGAATAAAATTTAGTTTGAATTTACAACTCAACTCGCAAATGTCTAGACTTTTCTTTAAGGTCTTAACATTTAGGTCCTTCGAGACTCTCCGTTCCTTCCCCCTTATGGTAAGAGTACGGAGTTAAACCAGCTCCTTAAAGACTGCAGCACCACTGTCTTGTACCACTGTAGCTCCAAAAGTTGCGAAATAATAAACTCGAGTTTCCCTCTTGTAGTAAGAAACCGAGTATAAAAAGTTAATGAAACAAAAGTTTCAAATAAATTCGATAAAATAGTGCTGTACAGGCAGTATTTTTGAATTCTTACAATATAATTTTTATTGTAGTCGTGTAAGTAAATACGCGACGTGGGCGTGTTCGAGGCCGAAACATCGAAAGCGAAAAATAAAATCCAGCAACATCAAAAGTACAAAGTGAAGTGGAGGTTAGCAAATTGGAAAGAAAAACCAAGCAGCCAAATAAACAAAAAAAATAAAAAATTTTTTTAAAATAAGTGACTTTGTCTGAAAAAAAAATATTTTTTCGTTTGTGTTTAAAAAAGAAAACCACAACAAAAAAAATAATAACGACGCCAGTGCCAACAAGCATTATTGACTATTGCATCAACAATAGCGTCAATAACTACAGTAGCGGCAACTATAGCAGCGGCAACTACAACATCAGCGACGTCAGAAGCGGAAACGACAGCAGCGTCAACAGCGACTTCAGAAGCGGCGACAGCAACTACGGCAGCAGCAGCGACATTAGCAACTACAAAAGACGGCAGCGGCAGCAGTAACAGCAACAGCAGAAGAAGATTCATCAGCTAAGTTCAGATATACTCGTATTTTATTTTTAAAACTACTTTAACTTAATTAAGTACAAGATGTTGTCGGAAAAAATTATTCAGTTGTTAGAGGCACAGTCAGCGATAGTAGCTGAGATAAGAAGGATTGAAGCTGGTCATTTGACCAGTGACGTAATCCAAAGGCTTGGAGAGCTAAAAAATGAAGTTACAGCTATTCATGCTATGGTGTAGTCGATCATGACTACTTTACGAAAAATCAATTGGAAAAACTCGTAAAAATTCAGGACATACAGAATAGGTATGATCTGTTAAAATCTACTGGAGCCTTATCAAAAAAGAAAGTAGAAATGGAAAAGTTAGAATCAGTAGGGACTGGAACTTTGAAGAGAGATACAGAGCCAAGAATAAGCGATAGTCTTGAAAAAATTGTTGAGGAATTCTACAAATATATAGACCAGCTGAGAGCTTTTATAGAAGAAACTACTAGGAGAGTAGATCAGGCTGGCTTGCTTGGGTGCCAGCGTAAGAAAAGTATAATAGAATTCCTCTCGAATAGACTTAATCAGAAGGTTGAGTATTACTATAAGACTTATGCTACAAATCCCAGCTTTGACGAGCAGATCGTCGTGTTAGAATTCGAAATTCAGGATATGTTAGACACCTTAGATGATAGGGTGCAGACCATAACTAATGCAAACATTAACATTAGTAATCGGACAGCAAATAAAAGGGAAGACCATGATTTTCCCGGTCTACCAAAAGAAAAGTACCCACATTCTCTGGAGAAGAAAAAGAGTGGGACGGATATTTACAGTTGTATTGTGACATAATCCATAACAGAGATGATATGAAAACATCTTTGAAGTTTAATTATTTAAAACTAGCGCTAAAAGGTGTAACGAACCATGGTTCTAGCCATGTCTCGTCACAAACGGCGGAGGGTCAGCGCATCCACGCTGGCCGGAGACAACAGTCAAACTGATATACACAGAGCTAACGAGCCATGGCTCTAGCCACGGTTCTCCACAAATAGTGGTGTGTCAGCACCTCCGGGAAATAAAATAGTCTTAAGCAACGCACACAATTAATTAAGAACTCTCGATCAACAACTCTACACATTCTTGTCCACACAACAATTTAAAACACCCCA